CCTCCTACTCCTTCATTGGTTCTCAGATTACATGCTGCTAGAGAAGCTTTTTGTAACCATCCAGCCAATGTCAGCTTCCCCGACATCCCAATTGTACACTTAGGGCTCACTGTCCTCTAAATTAGGATTATAATAAATAAAAAGCTCACTCTGTAACATCATGTCATTTCCCTTTCTTTGGTGTAAGCTCCATGAGAGCAGCAACTATCTGCTATTTAGCCCACTCCAATACCCTAACACAGGCTTTGTGTATGGTTGAAACTTGGTACATCTCTACTGAATTAATTCATCAAGTGGAAGTCTCCTTTTTGCCATACTTCTCCAGACTTTTCTAGAATGATACAGATCGACAGGTGATTGTATATGTTCAAAAAATAAGAATTTACATCATTTCTTGGAATTCACAACTGACACATGACTTAAACCTATAACTCAAAGAATCTAAAAGAATCATGGTGCCACTTGAATAGAAGTTAAGAAAGAAAGAAAGTTCCACTGTGCTATTTGTCAGTGCCTGTCACCAAAATGCTTGGCTTTTTGGTTTCCAAATGAATCATTATTCACTTATCAACGGTGATGAATGGTGCCTTCATAAGAAAGCATATTACAGTTTGAAATCACCTTCATGGCGATCAAAATGTATGTTCTTAGGCAACCATCAAAAGCAGGTGACTAACAAATGAATATTCCCGTGCTCTGGATTCTAAAGGAAAGGTTAAATGTACATTTCTTTTTTTAAAAAAATTTCCTGTACCTCAGGTTTGACTAGTAACTTCCAGATGAGGCACCCCATGAGAGCAGCGTGTGAGTTAGAGGGCTAGAAAGGTGTTTAAATAGTGAGACAACAGAGGATGTAATGATTTGAGCACATGAAAGCAGGTCAAATCGAAACTTATTTCTGCCAGCCTGGCATGGCCACCGGAACCCCTTACATGGGCTTTGAGTCGTCCCTGTTGTGTCAACCTTAAATAAAATGCAAGGTGCCTATTTTACCTAGCTACACTTCTTTCTCGAGCCACTTACAACTGTGAATAATGTCTAAAATGCAAGTATTTAGAAGCAGTCAATTTAAAACAACACATTTGGGCTGCTAATCTTCTGCTGTTAGAATCTGTGATTTGTAAAGGAATGGCGAGCATGAGAATGGCTTGCGATGCTGTGCCTAAGTGATGCTTCGTTTCAGTTCTCAGTGCTCCATTATTGCCTTAAAATCAAAGAGAGGCTGATGGATGCCCCACAAAACAACACCACGTATTATAGTTAATGCCTCTGCCATTGTCATAAAATAAGTTTAGCCAAGTCTTCACTGACTAAGTGATAGTCCTGGCTTCAGAAAGAAAGGAGAAATACCACCGCTGAGTTCTCAGAAGCGATATCCCTATCCCTCCTCCAGGCAACTCTTCCCTGAAGTTTTGATTTAAGACTGAGGATTTCCAAAATTTGACTCACAAAGCTCAGTGTCCCATGCCCCCACACTGATGTCATCCATTTCTAATATTAGCAGCAGAGCAGCTCAGGTTCACCTGGGAAAGAGGAGCTTTTATTTTGAGTTAAACAGGAACAGATACTAAAAATGAACACACTGAGGCTTCCTTCTGGTCTATCTGACACGAATAAAATATTTAACCCCATGCACTGAAACTAGTATTTTGAATTAAATGAGAAAGGAATTCAATCTGGCTAGAAATTTGATGTGCATTTTTATGCAGACTCAATTGTGCAAATGCTGAGGAATTAAGAAATAAAATAAAAGCCTATAAAGCTATTTGTTGTGCAGTGTCACACCAAGATCATCAAGTGTTCACAAAAATTCCATATGGATGAGATAATGAAGGTTCCCGGGCATCTGTTATAGCCCAGCATGATGTGTAAACTTGGCCACACAAACAAGCTTTGGGATGATATACGTTGTACTCATTAGCTCAAATGCATCCAGTATGTGCGTCCTATTGTCCAGCAGAGCTGAAGTAGATCAGCATAGCTGGACAATTGCCACATCTCCAGTTAGTACTGCACAGACCTAAACCCAGGCAGGAGGATACAGATGCGCCATTTGGAATTGTGGAAATTGTGTTGGAATTCCATGCCGTGAATTGGAGGGAGCTAATTCCTCCTACCCTGTCCATCTGCAGAGTGAGAGGCATCGTCATGTGTTGAGAGTGCTTTATGAGATAAGAGTCTCACAAAAATATGCAGCCCTGGACAAACTCGGGTCAATGGACGAAGTCGTATGGCTTGTACACAGAAAATGCCTTTCATTTTAAAAACAACCACCTGAACATGGTAACCATTCCCTCTAAAGCAGTGGTTCTCAACCTTCTGGCCCTTTAAATACAGTTCCTCATGTTGTGACCCAATCATAAAATTATTTTCGTTGCTACTTCATAACTGTAATATTGCTACTGTTGTGAATCATAATGTAAATATCTGATATGCAGGATGGTCTTAGGCGATCCCTGTGAAAGGGTCATTCGGCCGCCAAAGGGGTCGCGACCCACTGGCTGAGAACCGCTGCTCTAGAGGGTGAAGATATTTTTTAAAAGACTTAAAGGAAATAAAAACATCGTGGCTCAGTGCAGAACCTATCACCACCACACCTGAACTTTTCTTACGGTGCAAAATCTGCTAAGACTTTCATTCCAGAAAAGCTGGCCTGGGCGTTTAAGCAGCAGTGGCAAAAATGGGCCACGTTTAGTACTTGCTACTTTGCAGTTTGTTTTTGCTGACGATTCTCAACTTTCTCAACTTGGTCCTCCAACCCCACAGCAGAGTATCATTATCTTCCTAAGTCACTGTCATAGGGCAGGTCTCCCCGCCTTCAGTGCCCAGTGACATAACCTTGCCCTATTTGAGTTTGTGATAAAAACGTCGTGCTCTGCATATTTTTCTGTACCACGTCCCTCCTTCCTGTTATTCTCAGAATCATTGAATGATCTTAAAACAAAAAAAAAATCCTTACCTAGACCCCCCCCCCACATTACATGCACATAGGTATGCAAATACAAGCCTGATACAGTAGTCACCTTCCCATGTACCCCCAAAGACCCTGGGCCTGCTTTCTCCCTGTATCCCCATGACCTGGACATGACCTGGAATGTGCTCACCTCTCCATAAATCTTTTCTGACTCATCAGCGTTAAATAAGTCTGCCTGGAAGACTCTTAACCACATTTATGTATATGCTTTTGTTGTCTTTTTTTATTCTCCCCACTATATAGCTTTTGCTCTTAATTTCCGTTCTTAAAATCAATAGTCTTTTAGACTAAAAGAAAGATCTTCTGGTTGCACAGCCTGTAGTTTTCTGAGAAACTACTAAAAGAATAATATGTTTTTGATGTACAAGTGTAATTTAAAAATAAATAAAATAGATAAAATAACAATTTCTTAAAATTATTTTCATGGAGAGGTCTGATTATTTTTCTCTTAGTACAGTAATTCAAAATATTTTTCACACCCCCCTTTACGCAAGAATTTCCTTCCAGGTGGACATATCCAGTTCGTACTGGAAAATTCAGCACTATGTCTGTGAAGGGTGAGCAGAGGCAGAAAGCACCAAAACTAATTGTGGCTTGCTGTTGTTTACTGTACAACACTTTAGCAGATGTTGTCATGTCACAGGCCCATAACGGTGATGCTGGATGAATGACACAGTCTTAATATCCCATTCTGCTAATGAAGAACTTAAACCCCGTAGGAAGGAAGTGACTTTTCCAAGATTATGTAGCTAGATGGGGAAATGGAATAGAAAGCAGGGTCTTTCAACTCTGCAATACAATGCACTTTGGATTCTGCTATCAAATTAAATGTGTTGCTTAGGTGATTTTATAAACAATAATAACAAGTAGAGGAAAGAAAGTGATGCAAAAATGAGAGCACAAAGTACTAACTGATCCAGGGAGGACCTGGAGGAGCTAAGCGGTGCTGCAGTTGGATAAGTTTGTGGGTGCTGTTTTGTTTGGGGTGGGAGGGAACGTGTTCTCATAAGGGCATCTGGTCAGAATATAAGGGATGTGGGTACTTGAAAATATAAGGGGCATCACTTTGTAAATTATATGATTGTGTAAACACTATGTTGTATACCTGAAACTGATAACAAAATAATACTGAATATAAACTGTAATTGGAAAATGAAATTTAAACAACAAAAAAGAATGCAATTTTCTGCCAAGTTTCAATTATTTAAGCCTCACCTCCTCACATTGGACCCCTACAAAATTCTATGAGGCATCCTCTCTCTGAGAATTTGTTTTCTATTAGATGATGGGTTTGGTCTGGAACTCCATGGACACGCCTTCCAATAAAGTCTAGAGTCCCTGCTTGGAGAGTGGAAATATATTTCCTTTCTATGGTACATTTTCAGGGTTGAAAAGCAAAGGTGTTAATGGGGGGGGGGGAATAACAATTTTAAAAAGGACTGCCTTGCCTTCTTGTACCAATTTTATGTAGCACTTTATTAAAAAATAATATAATTTAGTTTAAGTAGCCTGAAGGATTTTATATTTGTTCTTTTTAATAATCTCCATCCACTAGTGATAATACTCTGCTTTAGAGATTAGGCTGTCAGTTACTCAACCAACAAATATATATTAAGGGTCCACTGGCATCAGGCTCTACTGATGAATAACGAATAAATAATGAATGACTGGTTGGTTAATGAATAAGATATAGATCTTGTCCTCAAGGGACTCAGATTATAGAATGAGAGAGAAAGACAATTTGTAAGCAAATTAATAAAACTATCCTTTGGGGCTAAAAAGCTGTGTTTGCTGGGGACACTTGTTCTTGTGCTGAGCCTGGGCACCTTCTAAGCCCCTAGTGCCCAAATGGAGATGAACAAGAGGGTCTGGTCTCCCCAAGGCCACAGCCTGTGCCTGGGGCTCTGTCTCTACCACAACTCTAGTCAAGCACCATGTCATCAAAGTGAGATAGAATCTTCATGGTTAAATGTACACAGTGCCCCTGAGGAAACAGTGACCACATGTTGCTTTGTTTTTGTTCCAGGAATCTTGGGAAATCAGGACTCAGAGTTTCTTGCTTGGGTCTTGGTAAGTACTCACGGTATCATGTAGGGTGGGCTGGGAGGTGGAAGATTGGGGTAGATACTAGAAAGTGATTGGGGTACAAGTCAGAACCCCATCTAAGGTGAGAAGGGACTGTGTGGCCAGCCTTGTCCCATTCCTCCTTCTGGTCCTTTCCTGCCCAACACAGCCCTCTGTCTCTCAGACCCAAGAAGCCATGGTGTCCGTGATGCCTTATGGGGGGCCCGTCCAACAGAAAGAAATCTGATACTAATGCTCACCTAGAAGAAGACTCAAGTGTTACTTCCAATTAGCAAATGGGAAGGACCTCATAGTGTTTGTGTGCTCAACTTACCTGCAGCTTATCTGAACTTTTTCTATCCTTATTTTCTCTTTGCCTAATTTCTTCATGGATTTTTCTGTATTGTTATGTATTTTAGATTTTAGATACTTTTATAATCTATCTTAAATACTGTGAGGTCAAGGTGATATACATGTGAAAGCTCAGAGGAAGATTTCTTGATTCCTATTGAATGGAAGTGTGGAGACCAGGGAAGGGATGATAATGAATAAATAAAAGATAGTGGCAACTCATTCTGCCTCCTTTCATTGTATTTCAAAGATATTAAGGTGATTGAGGTCTAAGTTTTTCTGATTCTTTCTGATGATCTGATTTGGAATCTAAGGGTGGACTTTGTTCACTATAAGTCCAAGGGAACTTGACATTTGCTTAATTTATAGCTCAGATCTTGTTACCTTTCACTTCTGTTTGAAAGGAGACTCGCTATCAGGGATCATCTAACCTTAGTTTTATGAGAATGTGCTTAATGGTAAATAATTATTCACTATTCATTATTGAAAGAAACTCCCTATTAATACAAATTATGAAATATGATAATTTAAGAAAATACAAATTAAGAACTATAGTAAAAGATCATTGACCAATTATCTCATAGAGTTCGTTTCTAGGGCAGAAAATAATTTAGTCAAAAGTACATAGAAAATTCCACCAAAGGCCCTTAAGACTAAAAAATTGCAGGTGTCCATGAAGTGCTACATGGAAATGAATGTCTGGAGGACAGAGAGCAGTGTTTTAAAACCCCATGTGTGTGAGTGTGGGGGTGGGGAGGGGGGCGGTGAGCTTTGGAACAGATGATTCAGGAGCAGAAGTCCTGACTTGAGCTTCGAGCTTCTCTGAGAGCCTGAACACTTGTGATAAGACACTGCGTGAAAAACAGGAGGAAACGAGGAAATTCGGGGGCTGACTGGCTTCATTCAGAACAGGTTAACAAAGCCTGACAGCTTGAATAAGCATTCTTTAAGAACTGCTCTGAGCTACCTCTGTAAGCCAGAGGAGACAAAAAATTTCAGAGAAAGGAAAAATGCACCTGCCTTAGATAATTAGTCAGGCTCTGCAGACCCCAGCTGTCCCATCCAGGGGAAGCCAGGTTTACTGCTGTGGAGTTGGGATGTCAGCAGAATCACAGCCCATGTTCAGCTGAGGCTTTGGAAATTAAGCATCATAGTTCCAAGTAATCACACAATCATATTGGAATACTGTAAAGGCCATAGTTTAAGCTAACAATTCTGACTTTCTTCTCGATCAGAGGACAGGAAGGGAACTTCTAGCTCTGACAAGCTTTCTTTCAATGAACTAGGAGCATGTGCAAATGAGAGCAGGCAGGTAAAGTAACTCGAGGATGAACTGAAAATACATCTGAAGGAACAAACTCTGTCAGTAAGAGAAAGGGGTAAAAAGAATTAAATGGCCAAACCCACCTGTGGGTTGCTGTGGCTGGCCTGGTTCATAATACACTGATGGGAAGGAGTAAATCCACCAAAGAGTGACTGAAAATCACCCTAGTCTAGTGGGAGGTGGGATCATCTTCTTAGAGAGGAAGAATAGAATTATGTACTCATTCATTCATTCATTCATTCTGAGCAAACATGTAGGAAACCAGGCATTGTGCTGGTTATGGGGGATACCAAGATGAAAGCAGCAAGGCCCCTGCTTCAGATTGTTCCCAATGTAGTAGGATCAGGCATGCAAACACAGACAGTGCATCTGACAGTGCCATAGTGGAGAGTCTGGGATGAATCGAGCACAGGGAATTTAGGACAGCTGCTCAGGGAAGGTGCTACAGAGCTGAGACTTGAAGGGAGTTATCAAGCATAGAAGGAGGCAGAAAAAGAGGGCAAATAATTCAAGATAGAGGGAGCAATGCAAGCAAGTACCAGAGCAGGATGTACTTGGGGAAACACTAGAATATTATGAGTGCACGGTGCTCCAGAACCTTAAGAAATGAGACTGGAAGAGAAGCTGGGCCTGATGGAGAGAGCCCTTGTTTAGAGCCCTTGTTAGCCTTGCTAACGCATTCAGCTCTTGTCTTTCAAGTTCCTCCAAGTCCTAGGACCCCAAGGTCTCAGGGTCGCTTGGAGGAAGAGAGACAGACAAGGCTCCACTTCTCTCCGCTCTCCTCCTTCCATTGCCACAGCCTCCATCAAAGTGGCTCTTTTTTAAAAATGTAAACTTTTTTCAAAAGTAAATTTTTAATGTAATAAGTAATAAATTACCATTTTTAGAGCAAAACTGAACAAAAAGTACAGAAAGTTCCCCTTCTCCCACATACACATAGCTTCCCCCACTATCAACATCCCACACCAGAGTGGTTGGTACATTGGTTACCATTTTACATTGACACACCATTCGCACCTAAAGATTGTAGTTTACATTAGTTATATGTGTAACTCTTGGTGTTGTACTATGGGTTTGGTAAATGTATAGTGATATGTCCACCATTTTATTATCATACAAAATATTCCCTGCCCTAAAAATCCACTGTATTCATGCCTATTCATCTCTCCCTTCCTCCTAACCTCCGGCAACCACTGATCCATTTACTGTCTTCATAGTTATGCATTTTGCAGAATGTCTGATAGTTGGAATCATACAGTATGTGGCCTTTACATATTGGCTTCTTTCACTTAGTAATATGCATTTAAGTTTCCTCCATATCTTTTCATGGCTTAATAGCTCATTTCTTTTTAGTGCTTCACTTTCCATTTTGAACTGAGGCTTTGAAAATTAGGCATCGTAGTTCCAAGTAATCACACAATTTTGAAGGGGGGTGGGGAAGCATCCTTCTGCCAAAAAAAAAAAGTTTAAAACTCTGCTCTCGCCTGTGAAAAACCATTCCAAAACTTGGATCAGGAGTAGGACGTGATCAAATGTATCAGAATTGTTTTCTGGCAGCGATATAAAGGCTACATCAGAGGGGGAGGGGTTGAGACTGGAGACAAGGCAGACACTGAGGCAGGGATATTAAAGGTGGACCAGAGATGATTATTCAGGAGGAAGGATAAATAGAACCTGGTGGCCTCAGGGTGCAGAATGAGGAGTCTCCCTGAGCAGGGAAGGATGCTTGGGTTCCTGGATTGGGCATGTGGTGGATGAGCTGAAAGCTCAGGTTGAAGGCCAGGAGGAAGCAGTGAGAGGAGGGAGGATTCAGTGAAGTGGGAGCATTGCTGGGGAGTGGTGACCAGAGAGCCTGTGACCTGCTCCGGATACCCAGAGAGAGCTGGGAATAAAGACCTGGGAACTTCTAACAGTGATGAACCCAAGGATATCCTTAAGGCCACCTGCATATTCAGAGGGTTGAGATATTTGCCCAGGTTTAGGACACCTGCCTGTGGAGTTTGCCACATGGCATGCTCCTTGAGAGCAGAGACAGCCTCTGCATTTTCTACATTCCTATTGTACCTTTAGCAGATCACAGTACCTGGAAAGTAGTAGGTGCTCAAAAATATTTATTGAATGAATATCTGCATAGATGGATCAGTTGCTACAGAGTGACAAAAAGTGCACTGGGTAATAGTGAAGATCCAGCAGAGGTCAGAAATCATGAACGGCTGAGGTCCAGCCAGCCCAGTTCTTTGGTTTCTTCAGCAGCACTTCAGTGCAGAAACAGAGAAGGCCACGTGAAGGGAGGTGGGGAGAGGAGATAGGGGTCAGCCCAGCAACGAGAATTGCCCCCAAAGCGGGTCATAGACCAAGGGACTGTCATTCCATGGAGTCCGGGCTGGGTCAGCTCAGAGCCTTCTCAGCAGGGCTGTCACTCCTGTCATTACAAAGAGGCATCTGCCTGCATTCTGAGTTGCTCCACATAGTCTCGCGTGAAGAGAAGGAGGCCCATCTGATTCATGCCATGGGAGGTGACACACCGCTGTGGGCAGCTACTCCTAGAGGTGCTTGAAAGGGGCTGAATTTGCCCTGCACCACTCACTCTCAGATGTGTGTGCTTCCCTCCAGATAAAATGCTCACAAGAAAAAGGTCATGTGATGATTAATTTTATGTATCAACTTGACTGGTCCATGGGGTGCCTGGATATTTGGTCAAATGTTATTCTAGGTGTGTCCTGAGGGTGTTTTGAGATGAGATTAATATTTGGGTGAGTGGATTTAGTAAAGTAGCCCTCCCCAGAGTGGGTGGGTGGTCCTCCTTCAATCAGTGGAAGGCAAAAAGAGGGGACTCCTTCTGCATGACTGCTTTGAACTGTAATGTCAGACTTGTCTGGCTTTTGGAATTGAACTGAAATATCCTCTTTTATCAGGCCTTGAGCCTACTTGCTTTTGGACTAGAATTTGTATCATCAGCTCTGCATGGACTGAATCTACTACAGCTTACAGATGGCAGATTTTGGGACTTCTCAACCTTCATAACCATCTTAGCCAATTTCTTATAATAAATCTCTTTGTATATGTACATGCATATTTAAATATCATATATATTTATATAAATACATTTGTATGTTTTATAATATACTAGAGGCCCGGTGCATGAAGTTCGTGCATGGGGCAGGGGGGGTCAGCCTGGCCTGCATCCTCTCACAGTCCAGGACCGCTCAGAGGATGTCCACCTGCAGGGAGCAGGCCTAAGGCAGCAGTTGGACGTCCCTCTCGCAGTCCAGGACCCCTCGCTCCTTACTGCCCACCTGTTTGCGGCTTTTTACCACTCTGCTCGCTGCTT